TATATATATAAAAATATTCTAAAAAGAATCGATGGAGTCAGATAATCTATTTTTTTATTATTATTACCGTACTGTACTAATCTTTAGTACACGGAAAACTACTAGTTTTCCATTCGTTTCTGACCTTTGGAGGCTTAATAAGTCCCGAGTCCGTAGACTGGTATAAAAAATTAAAAAAGGTAAACAGGTTAACAAGGAAAATATACTTTTATTTTTATATAAATATATACTTCACCCCAAATTAAAATATAAAAATAATAATAATAAATTTATATAAAAATAAAAGTATATTTTCCTTGTTAACCTGTTTACCTTTTTTAAATTTTTTATACCAGTCTACGGACTCGGGACTTATTAAGCCTCCAAAAGTCAGAAACGAATGGAAAACTAGCAGTTTTTCGTGTACTAATGAATAGTACAATTATGGTTAAAAAATAGATTATCTCACTCCATCGATTCTTTTTAGAATATTTTTATTGATATATAAAACAATATATTTGAATGAGAATCTGAGTAGGATAAGAAATAATATAAAGATATGATGATAACAGTATTTACTACTAAAAGTAATGTAGATTTTAATAAGCAAATAACATACAAATGCATTTAGTGTCTGACTTCCATAAGCCTCAATTAGATAATTTCAAACTTGTGTAAAGTTTTTTGGTACAATTGCAAAGGTACTTTCTGTATAATTTTATAATGTGATGTTTCTAGGGATTTTTAGATTCAAACCCCACTCCCATGACACCAATTTGTGAGCCGCCGGGTAGGTCGGGAAGTCCTCTCCTTCCGGCCACTGGTCGGTGACCTACTTTCTTGTCAACGATGGTGTTTCGTTCCGTTACGTGTTACGTGAGTGGAGGAGAGTCAGAGGGGTTGATGATAAGATGTTAGCAAAGTCGAGTAACGACACCATTTAAAAAACAAAACAAGAGTTTATTAACCTAACTAACTAAATAAAATCTTATAAAACTCCTTAGACTTCGCGGATGAGAGAGAGAGTTTACAATAATAAGCATTCATACCTCTTTGCATATATTAGTGGGATATTTTCCCGTAATGTCGTCCAAATGGATTCTGATCGGTGACACAAGTATAGGTCGGCGATGAAAGTGTAGGTCTACGATGGGAGTGTAGGGCTGCGATGGAGAAGGCGATGTCTGACTTCGATGTTCGGCGATTCCCTTGATGAGGGGAAGGTGTCGGGCTTTTATACCTTTTTCTGTGGGAAAATTAGTCAGGTGATCAATTGTTTTAGCAGGTGTGGGGTTAAAGATGGCGATAGAATGACAACAATATGACGAATTTTGCCTGTAATTGTAAACAATACATGGTTTGATCATGAGAATGTTTATAATAAGCTAGAAAAAGTTATAACTTTCTCATGCGCTTCATATTTTGTTTCTGCAGGTGCAAATTCCTCTAGTTAAAGTAATTTTTATTTAAAATTTTAAGGAATTAAATGATTTTATTACATTATATAAACTTCGAATTTCACAATAATAATGTGATCAATCAGCCAATTAAAATAATAATCTTATATTAAAATAATTTTTGTATGCTACTTAACTATTTCATTGCCAGAAAAAACTTTTAAATTTTATGATTTTATGATATAACTTTTTCGTTTTTCTTCTAGTGTTGTTATATGATTTTTAAAATTATGGTATATCAATGATGTAGTAGCAATGTTTTGTTAATCATTTCCAAATAATGTAAAATTTAATTTATGGAAAAAGTCCTGAAAAGTATCTGTTATATAGGTCAGGAATAAGTTGTAATAACCTATTCCTTATAAATCTTACTGTATAAATTGGAAGTGTAATTAAGGAAAGCAATTAAATTTTTTCACAGATTAGCCATTCAGTTAATACACAGATATTTGATCTTATTAAAATTAGCTATTTTATTAAAAAACATGTAGACTATATGTTAAAGCTTAGAGATGAAGAATGTGTAATCTTTTGTGCTTTCTAATGGCAGTCTGATAGAATATAAAATAGTATAATATAGAAATTAGTTATTGTAGCTGTTTCTTTATTTTTTAAGATAAATTAACTACAGAAATGTTTTCTGTTTTTTCCAATTTTTTCTATTTATTTATGTTTATATTTTTATTTTTTATATGTATATTTTTTGTCTATGTATGCTAAATGTAGACACTTATGTAATCTGCAATATAATATGTATCCTTATGAGATCCCTCTAAAACAGGATAACCTTCTGATTAAAAAATATTTCTCATCTCTGTCATAGCTGATATAATTAGAAATTTTAGTATATTACTAAAAATGTAGATTTAAACACTATTCATAACATTTTAGTATGCATTAAATGAGTTAAATTAAACAATTATATAAAATGTACTTCATATTGAATATTGAAAGTCAAAAATATTTAACAAAAAACAATTATTTCAAGTCAAGGAATTAAATCAAATATTTTTAATAACTATCTTTTAATAGAAGAGTATTCTTTATTTTGTGTAAAACAGAAATAAATATTAGCATATTAGTATTTATGTACAATGTATAAAATATTACATATACATTTTGAATATCAAATTTTAATGATAGTAATTTTAAATGATTGGAAATTGCATAAAAATTATCAAAGATTTTTAATTTTTCATCAAGAAAACTAAATTTTTGAAATGTGTCTTAACATCTTGATTTAGAAATTTTATGGCCTTTATTTATATCAAATTTTATTGGAATAGCATTTAGTCGCTCTCTTCATTATCAATTTTATGTCTGGTATTTCCATACTTTACCATACTTGTTATGGTCTACAACATTATTGCCTGTGTCCAAGTAAGTATTAATAAATACGCATACTTCTAATATTAAAATTCTATGATAAAAATATCTAACTATAAATAAATTTAATTTAAATAGTATTAAGTTCATTTTCATTATATGTAAGAATGTTTAATAAATTGTTAATAGATTCTTATTAAAATATTAATAGATAAATTGTTAATTGTTTAATAGATTTTTATTAAAATATTCTCAAATTAACTTTGTATATAATTTTTATTATTTCAGATTATGTATTTTAGGTGCTATTGAATTAGCCTGGAACACTTATCCATCTACAGACTTTAGCAGTTTACTTCTACACATTTGTCACGCAATCATTCTTGTTAAATTATGGACAAATCTACCAGAAAAAAGTAAAATTGCGTGAAAATATATCATCTACATAAATGAATTTATTTTTTTCTTTTTTTTGTTTGGCCTTTGTTAATTTTCTTATCAGTTTAAAATTGAATTTATTTTTGTCAATATTCATTATTTAACATTGTTATTTGTTTAATAAGTTTAAAAATATATAAAATGAGAAATTTGACTTGTCCAAGTCACTAAGTGTGATCAAAAAATTGGAAACGTGATAAATAAATTTTTAATATTTTTAATATTAATGTGTGTCACTTTTTTAACAATTTAAAAAGTTTCATCTTATATAGAAAAGTTTGTGTCTGTATGTACATAAATATTTTAAACCATTTAACAAGGACTGAAAGTTTTTAAATAAGCATTTTTAAGTATCTAACATTAACCTTTATACCAATTTTAGTAACATCAAAATAAAGATTTAAGAGTTTCATACAAAAGTTAGAAAAAATGAAATAAAATTTTGATATTGTAGTTGTATTTTTAAAAAAGTTTTAACGACAGTTTAATTTTGCAATATTTTGAGATGTGTAGAAAAAATGAAACCATTCAATTATTGAAATTGCTTTCATGCCATATGTTGCACTAATTTGTTTTATTTCTGAATTAATTATAAATTAAATTATTATAATTAACTATAAATTTTCAGATATTTTGCTAATTTTATCGATTTATTATTAATTTATACATATTTTTTGAGATCATTTGCTTTTATAATCATGGATACTTCATTCTTCTGAATTTGGTTATCCCTCGAGGAAGTGGACATATTTTTAGAACACACACCTCTGAAAATAAAAGTAATTAATTAATAAAACTGAATGAAAAGAGATTATTATTTTTAAAATTTGATTAAAATATGCACATACTAAGGACTTGATTATTTTTAATCAATGTTCTTGGAGGGTTGGACGTAGGAGATGACATCCTATTAAATGGAATGATAACATTCCATGGTCTCCAATATGAAGGAACCTAATTCAATAAAAAAGAAAATTTATACAAATATAAATATTTACAAACCCAAATTTTTGGCTTAAAGCCAAATGATTACTGAATTACATCAGGATATATTAATGCTATTAACTACCAATTAAATTTCAAATAATTTGGTGTTGAGGTAGATCAAATTATTTGAAATTTAGTTGGTAGTTAATAGCATTAATATAGCCTGATGTAATTCAGCAATCGTTTGGTTTTAAGGAAAATTTACATTTAAAATGAGATTTCCAATAATAAGACTAATAATTTATAATTTCATATTTCATTATATGGATTCTGTAATTTCACATAAATTAATTCCATAATTTTAACACATTTATTGTGTGTAAAATTTCCAAGAAATTGTATGGGTTACTTTAAAACTTTTTCTTATATCCAAAATAAATTATTAGTTAATATATGTAACATATAATTATGGAGAGAGTTGATAATTTATTTATCCTTAGAAATCAAAAGTTTGCATAATAATTATGATAATACAAAGAGAGCTTAGTATTAAGTTCAAATGTATGATAAAGATGTAATATTTATTAATAAATTAAATTATATCCTAGTGAATATAATTTAAAAGTGCAGAATTTAAGTCATTCTATAGAGAATAATTTAATAGATTGACTTATGAATTAATACTATATATATTACTGTTAATAACTGATAAACAAATTTAATTAATAGTCTTGTTTATAATTAGTTAATTCTTATGTGAATTTATAGTTTTTATGAACTGATGTGTTCCAAGATACAGATAATATTTGTTGTTAATTCCTATTTATGTAGTTAATAAATCCTGCTACTTTATTCAGAAATCTCATTTCTGACATGATCATTTCCCTTATTTGTATTTATTAGTCACATTTCTGCTCCAAAAATAATGCTTGATTAGGTCTTGTATATTTATGTAATCTGATGATTATCTTGCATGAGATTTTTATGAGATATGATGTCAGGGAGTTCATGAACTATTGTACATGTAATTAAAGGAGACGGTGTTTGTCAAAAGTACATCACTGTACACAACAGGTGAAGAGGGTCAAAAGTGACTGAAAAACTGTGCACATATAATGGAAGGCCCCTTTATGAGGAATAGTTTTTCTCTCTTATTATTTAGACTTAAATTCTGAATATTGTAATATAAATTGCTTTTGATAAAAATATGAACATATTCTTGTTTTATTTGAATTTTTTCATTTAAAAATAAATCTGAATATATTGTGCTGTCTCTCTTACCCCTGTTATGTGTTTAGCTGAATCCATGATGGATACAAAAAAGCTCTCAATACCTGCCATGTGATAAGAGTTAAACATATTTTCAATTTTTAATAATATTAAAAGCAATTTAACTGAATTATTATCAGAACAAATTCCATGATTTACATATCAATAGATTTTTGAACAAGATTTTAGAGTCATGATCCTTGAGGTCATAACTCTAAAAACTTGTTCAAACTCTAAGACTTGATCTACACGTGTACTTATTTTGTATAGGACAACACTTCGTTTTTATTATCTGTTAAATTATCTGTTTTATTATCTGACCGTTTGCAGTTATCGTATTTGTTTCTTGGTGTGCGATTACGAATTTGGTCATTGCACGTATTTGTGTATATATCATCATGATCACATTTTAAAGTTACACATTGTACAGTACATGTAATTAAGTCTTTAATGAAATAAACGATATAAATCTTCACTAACAATTTGGCATTTTTTGATAATGTCATCATAGCAGACATGGTCATTTTACCTGACAATTTCCTACGATTTTTCAAACTTTGACATCATCTGGAGCATTATTTATGATTACTTCAACAGACGAGACTATTTTCTTTTTTATTTCTTTTTTTTTAAAGCTACTCTTTTTAATTAAAACAATTATCAATAGTCTCAAACACTTGGTTCCACGGCATTGTCAAAAGATATAGTGCGTTAGAGAAATTTTAACGATAAATGTATCTGTTCATCTTTGCTATCATCTAATTCTCCTGAAATTCTGGCATGTATTTTCACTTTGTAGTATGTCTTTAAGTTAGGATTTCTCGGTTGCATGGCTGAATCAGTGATGATATATTCTCAGGAAGGAATACTATTTTAATATTTTTTAGTGACACATCGATAACTATTGCCATTTTTCGATAAAGTTTATTGGATGTCTCAACCGGTACAACCGATTGAGACGTCCAATCCGGTACAAACTACTACTATACAACACCCCTATGGGGTGGGAGACAAGTCCCCCAGCCCAGGTGCCAAGCAAGTAGCTACCAAGTACAAAAAAATCACCATCATCACCTGCCCCGAAGACCAGACTAGGCCATTTGTCTGGCCAGTGTTCCCACCGGTCAAGACGAGGTGCAACGAGTGCACATGCACAAAGACCCACGAGAAGAGGGACCCCGAAATGAATCTTCAAAAAAATTATCAGTATTACATTTCTGTTTTCAAGTTCTAAATTTTGCCGCCATGGGGCCGATTTCGTAATAAATTTGGTTAAAGTTTAAAAAATAATCGACCATTTCTATCGTATTTCTTTTTTTATGTATAATTTTTTCCAAAAAGGAGGATCTGAAAAATAAGGCATATGAAAAGCTAGCCATGGCACTGTATAAGTTGGTAGACAATCTTACAACACAAGTGTGTTGTAAGATTGTCTACCAACAAAATTTGTCATCTCAAGTCATATATTCACCAAAAATTGATTAAAAATACTAAAAAGTTGTATAAATAAAGTTAATTATAATTCATTAGAAATTTTAAACACAATTCTATTTCCAAAAATTGTAAACGTTAACAATTATATATTAACATGCAAATTAGAGGATCCGTAAAATGGAAATCGTAAAAGGTTAAAAGTATTAAAAGAAAATTTTTTTATGTTAAAACATAACACATAAATATAAAGAAAAAAATATTGTATTGCATTAAAAAACGTAAATTTTTTAAAAATAATTTTAAGTTTATAGGACGAGATTAATTAACAAAAAACCCGGTAGGTTGAGTGCTGTTTAGAACACTGTCACGATAATTTTAACGGTGAATATATGTTTTAAAAGTGTGTATAATAGTTTGCACCACTATAATAAATGTAAGATAAAGGCACTTTTGTAAATTACTATTATAGTGAATTTGAAATATGATTGATGTATGTTGAAATTCTATTCTTTAGCAGATAGATGAACGGCGTATGCTCGAAACGTGTATCGGCATTCAAGATGTTGCAGAATAAAGTGATGCAAAAAAGCTGTGTCTACATGTGTACTTAGTTGTGTGGTAAAGACTAATCTGTAAAAGTTTCTAGCAAATGGACACTTCTGAAGATAAAGATGTCTTACTTAAATTAATAAATTCTACAGGTGAGTCACAAGAAATTGAATCAGTATTATCGGAAGATATTGTAATAACCAACGAGCTAGAATATACTACATAGAGTGGCTGAAGCGACACCACGTTTGAGGAAAATTGAATACACATCCGCCATTTTCCTTTTAGTCAAATGGCGTGGTATTTGTGTTGTGTAAATGCAATGAGTTAGAATATTCTAGATCGTTGGTAATAACTTAAATGACAGATATTGTTTCCAAAATATTAGTACAGCTTAATAATAATAATAATAATAAATCATGAATCGAATTGTTACGAGGTCTAAACTTAATTTATAATTATATTTGGGACTCTAAAACATAATTTTAAGAAGTGAATGATAAAATTAATAATATGAAAGTAGAAATTTAAAACAACTCTCGATAGAAAAGGTAGATGCGTTATAAATTTAATTCAATGATAAATACATGCAATCAGAATAAACTAATTTTTTTATCATTTTCCCGTTTAAAACGAAAAACTGTGTGATGAAACAATTTAAAATTTGGCCTAAAGTAGTTTAGAATTAAGAAAATTTGATCTTGGCGAGATTCTAGATTCATCAAGTATATTTTAAATGTCGCATAATCTGAGCAATTTTTAACTCGTCGCAAAAATATAATAAGTTTTTTATTTATTGAAGCTAAGAAATAAGACGGACTGGGTGATTGTAAAGGTTTACAAAATGTCAGTATACTTAACCAAAATAACTGAGAGACAGACAGACAAATAGGTTAATTTTTTTTATAATTTAGGATTAAGAAAAAGTTAAATTTATCATGCATCAAATTTACTTTTCAGTTATATTTTAGCTATCAGTTCAGGAAAAAAATTAATAATTATAGAATTTTTCCAAAAATAGGAGGACGGAGCTTAAAACGAATTGCATAGTTTCCGTGTAATTTTATTTCATGGACATCCAGCCTTAAACTTTGACACTTCGTAGGTCGTAAAATACAGGAAATCTTTGTTAATTAGAACTGGGATAGTTCGAAATCCCGTTAGTTTGTAACTACTTTTGTCCCGATCGGGGATATAGAGATTTACACGTCAAGTTCGAAATACGGCTACTTCGAAATTCGAAGTGAAA